GTTTACTAAAAATATTCAGAGCATCATAATGGGAGCAGAAAAATATTCAGAATTGATCGCGGGTCGAAAATAAGCCGGAAGGGTCGAAATCACGTAAATGAACCGAAAAGCTCAAGGTGTCTCAACGCATGCGATCAGGACGTGCTGTCCATCATCTAAGCATCTAAATGTCTACACAGCACGACATGTCTCCGCAGGAAGGAGTGTTACATGCATCTTGACATGTCAGAGCACTAGGTGTCACCGTATCTGCAACCAGGACATGCGTATCGACACCCAGTGACCCGTGTGTCGCGATGCAAGCACTCCAGTCATGCAGCAAGCCATTTGGTCGTCCAGGCAGGAGAGAGGTGTCACTTTGCATAAGTCCTGTCCATGCTAAAAGACATGTGGAGCACGAGGTGTTGCGACGCATGCGTCCGGAGCCATGCGAAGTGACACACGGGCTGCCACACGGCTTCCTTCTGAATGGATGTTGACTCCTATAAATAGCCCACGACCCCCTTTCATTTCTTCACATCCAGACCACACCAAAGCCACTCCAAAACATGAGAGTGAGAAAGAGAGAGAGAAAGTTAGGGTTTCGATAGTTTCTGAGCTTTTTCGAGAGTTTTAGAGAGTTCTCGAGGTCAGTTCCCTACTTATTTTGAGTGAGTTCTAGGCTCTGTCCAAATCAATCCGTCCACTCTATTATTATTCTCTGATGATGAAGTGGAGGTGTTGTCCAAGATCAGTCGAAGTTCTGAAGTCCGATCTACCAAGAAGGCAAGTTCTGTCAAATCGACGATTCTTTATGAGTGTAACGCGGAAGCGCTGTCCAAATAAATCCATCCAAGGCATTAACTTTCTTCTACAATCAAGGGGAGGTTCTGTCCGAGTCAAAATCAGTCCAGTCCAGTCCATTCAAGTCGTCCAGGTTGGGTTTTGGCCAAGTCATTCCTATCAACCAGCTGCTTCTCGCCTAGAACACTGTGAGTTGGTTATGTTTGAATTCCGTTTGGAATTTAGGGTAGATATAGATCGAGTATTCATATAGAATAGAATTCTAACGCTATTGCTTGATAGAGTTCTTAGGGTTACTTTCTTTTATTAATCTGGAGTCAGCTTAGCAAGGGCTAAACTGAGATGAAATGGAATTAAGAATGAGTTAATAACCTGACTATGACTAGAGCTAGGATGCATCATGTTTACTATTCTTGTGTGTTGATATGGTTGAGTGCAGGTTCCCGTTATCTTTAAAGATAGTTTCATAGCAGGAGGCTAAACTATCTAGGTAACGGTTTGCTTGAGTGATTGCTTGTTTATATAATGCTTGTTAATTGAGGTTAGTCAGCTCTTGGTAAGGGAGTGACCAACCGGTTGAGTTGTTATTTATTAAGTATTGTTATTTACTTGTTTAGATGTTAGTACTAAGTGTCTTTGGCCATATAGGCCGGACTACTGGTACTATTGATTAGTGTTGAGTCTAGATAATATCGCTAAGTTGTGGATAGTTAGGTTCTGGAATCTATGTCCTTAGGCTAGGTTTTGGAATAAGGTTGTGTTTAGGTTGTTAGGTGTGTCTTACCGACAGCATGTGTGTAACCCGCCCAAGCTAGGCATGTTTAGGGGTGGATTAGTGTGTCATCAGCCTCGTACCCAGCGGGTTCAAGGAAACCCCTTATTTTTTGGATCGGGAAGACTCAGATAGACAGGGTCATGGCCTATGGCTGAGTGTTACACGACGGTGTAACGTCCGGCAGTGACCCGAATGACTGTGGGCTGTCGCGTGGTGACCCGAATGACTGTGGGCCGCGGTCGGTTGAAAGTTCCTTCTTCCGGCCTTTGTGGTAGGAAGTTAGGATGTTGCCGATGTGTAGGAGGAACGCTAAGTCACCAGGGCCCATGTTAGAGTGTCGAGTTAGAGTGTTGTGTCGAGTATAGGGTTATGGAACCCTAGGGTAAGTGTAACACTGATATACGGTGTTACGAGTTAGATCGAGTCGTAGTTAGTTATTATCTTATTATTGTGTTATTGGTGCTTGATTGTTTTGTTTGTTTCTAACATTGAGATCTAATCCCGGGTTAGGTTCCGGGTTAGACTTGGTGTTTGTTTGGGTAGTGTAGACCCGACGTTAGCCTGTGTTGTTTGAGTGATTGATTATGAAGGGTGGTGGATATTGAAGTTATGTGGTATCATTGATTGGCCGATCATGTTCTTGTCTGATTGTTGGTCGACCAGTTAATGATACTTGTATAGTTTTAGTTTGTAACATTACATAAGTACTGAACTCAGGCGTATATATGGTTAACTAGGGATTGGTTGTCACTTCAGGAAATAAGGGTAGTAATAGCGGACGGAAAACGTTATAAGTCATGTATAATAGCGCTTCCTTGTCCGCTCTGACATCGCCCGTTATAATAGGTCCGACACTTTTAATAGCGATTTTCGTTTCTGCTATCGTTAAACGTACAACAATAGCGCGTTTTTAACACAATTGTTAATATTTCTAATGATGAATTGATTTTATTTTTCAAAATGTAATATTTATTTTGAATTTTTATAATAAAAACAATTAATAATATTATAAAAGTAAAAAAATATTTAAATGATTACAAACAATAATTAAAAATTAAATTTTATTTATTAATTAAATTTTGTTACAAATAAAATCAGTTTATACATTAACCAAAAAAAAATAAACCAAAACCTAAATAAACCCAAAAAACAATTGAACCAAACCTAAGAAACCAAAACCTAAGCTCAAATTTGAGGTTTCCTTCTTCCTGTCACTTTCTTCTCTTCTTCTTGTTTGGATGAGATTTAAGCCGCTGGACAGAGATAGTGACTTGGTTAAGTGCATAGCCATTGGCAAGTGTCCATGCCGTGTATTTACTTTCCCTGTAAGATTAATTAAAACCCAACACACCAACATTCATGAGTCAATACTCTGAAAATTCAATAGCAAACAAGAAGAAAGTAAATCATTGTGAATGTATGCTAAAAGAGAAACCTACCTGCATACCAGCTACTCTTCCCACCAGAAGACTCCTGGAGATTTCCTAAGCTCCAATGATAAGTAATTATGAATGGAAACAACATGAAACCCATTAGGTAAGGACCTGATACTTCATCAAAATCTCAGATCCTTGAAAACCTGATAAAAACAAATCAAAAGAAGTCATTAATCAAAACAAAGACAAGACTTTAAGCAAGACAATCAAACAACTCGTTAATCAAAAGAAAGACACAAATTTTAACAAAGAATCAAACTGAAACCCTAATCGAGACCCAATGATACAAAAACAAATAGTCTACCAAATCAAAACCCTATAGCAAAAGCAAATAGTGAGGAAAATAGAAACCATAATCCAAAAAATCCCAAGTCAAAAGATACCTTCACTGAATCGTCGTTTTCGTCTCTTTTCCACAAGGCTTGCACGTCGTCAACCTGGATGGTGGTGGTGGTAAAGAGCGACGGTTCAAAGTTGTTCTGGGCACGGAGAGAGAAGCGTCGAGAGGGATTGTAGCGGTGGTTTGAGAGTAAGGTGAGACTGGGGACTGAGAGACGATGATGATGAGGGTAGATGGATTGAGAAAAGGAGTTTTTAGCGGAGGATTTCAAGAGATGGAGAAGATGAGATTGTAGTAGTGGTCAGCTTCGGTGACGAAGCCCTCTCTCTCTCTCTCTCTCTCTCTCTCTCTCTCTCTCTCGTAGATCTCACAAAAAAATAATAATTAAAAACAATTAATCTCAGCCATTGATTCAATATCATCCAAGAGTGCAGATAGTGAGTGATCCATGCCATCAACAACAACCACCAATAGAAAAAAAGGTGAGGATTTGATACATAATACAAATTGTCTTTTTATTTATTTATAAATTTTATAAAAATTATCTAAAATTTAAATAATTTCATATCATAATTTAATATTTAAAATCTAAATTTTGTATTTGAAAATTTAATTTATTTACGGAATTATAATTTTTTTTAAATTAAGATTTAATGTTTAGGGGTTAGGGTTGAGATTTAGGACTAATTATGTGATTTGAGTTTTAATATACTTGGAATTTAAATTATAAGTTCGTAAAGATTTGATTTATGATTTTCTGTTTGACTAAAGACTTTATATGTAGTGTTTAAGTTTGGGTTTTAGGGTATTAGGTTTAGTGTCTAGTTTTAGATTTATTGTTTGAGGTTTAGATTTTGAATATGAGATTATATTCTTAAATGATTAAATTTTGATTTTAATTTTAAGATTGAAGTTATATTACAAAAATATTTAAATTTTAAAGTTTATGTTTAGGGTTTAGGGTGTTGTTATATTTGTTTAATACAAAATATAAATAAAAAATATTTTTATAAAATGTAATTTGTTAAAATTACAACCAGTTATAACATTGTGAAAAATTGTGAAAAATTAAATACTGTTAATAATTTGATAGTTTGAACTAAGATTTGGATGTAGAGTTTGGGGTTTAAAGTGTAATGTTAAGGGTTAGTCTTAAGTCTTTGACTAAAAATTTAGTCTTTGTATTTATGTTATAGGGTTTGGTGCTAAGAGTATGTGGTTTATGCTATTACATTTATAGTTTTGTATTTGAAACTTATGACCTATATAGTTATATATTTTTAAAGAAATATATAATTTAAGTTTAAAATGTTCTATATAATTTAGGTTTAGGGTTTAGGGTTTGGGGTTTAGGATTTAGATGTTGAGGTAAAAAAATATTATTTTTGTTTTTTTCTCTAATTTGTTATTAGTATTAGTTGTTGTGTTATCTTTGGATTTTAAGATGAAATATTTGAACTGTAATGATAATCAAACTTATAAGCAAAGAAAAATAAGTCATTAACTAAAATAAAAATTATGTTATATGTAATTTTATTTGACACTCATAAAATAAAATAAATAAAAAATTGAGAAAGCAACTTTATGACAATATACACATAAAAACATTCACTGATCTGGTCACAAAAAGTGTCATCCTTCTCTTGCATATGGTGTCAAAACCAATGTTTGCCTCAACAAACTGATTCTTGAGATCTCCATTTGTAGTAATTGGAACACCAACTACCTGCAATGAAACTGAACGACCAATGTGCTCAGGGGCGGATGTACAGCTAAGAAGGGTAGGGCATCTGCCCCCTATGCATTTTATAAAAAAAATAGAATTTCTTTACTATCTATAGTAAATTTTGGGGAAACTGGTTAAGTTTGCCCCCACCTTACAATCTCAAACATAAAGTTAAAATTCTATATTCTTTGAAGTTATAAAATTTTGCCCTCCATAATTAAACTTTCTAGATCCGCCACTGAATGTGCTTCATGAAGGGTTTTTGAATATATAAAATTAGTGGAAAAAAGGATATGGTGATAAAGAACAGTTAGGACCTTTGTTGAGAACTTTGCTTCAGCGAAAAAACTAAGATGTCACACCTTCAAAAAGCCCCAATATAAAATCTTAGTTTAGTACAAAATTTATTTTGCCAATGATATAAATAAAGACGTTAGGTTACATCCAAGGATAACAAGGCCATCTAGCTTCAAATCAGTGCAAGCTTTGAGTGCAGCATTAACCTGTTCAGTGGTTCTGATCTGATCAGAATAAGGTAATGAAAAAGATTCTAAGTATACTACGACAATGCCTTCATCGAAGAACTTACCTTGGTTTTTGTAAGTCTGGAGTATATCATATGCGATCTCCATAGTCTTTTCCGCAAATAGACCTTCCGAACCACCTATAGACATTTTACACCAGGAAGAAATTAGATAAGTTATCACATAAGCAAGGTGCTTTCAAGAAGCAATCAAATGACCTGAGACCTGAGCTTTGAGAGGTTCTAAGCTTTGAGAGAGTCTCATATAAGAGAGCCTGAGACCTGAAAAGAAAAAAAAAAAAGAATAAGCAATGAACAGACCTTTAGAAGCTGGCAAACGACAGTACACGTTCTGTGACTTAAACCCACTTGGAAAGAGAGCACAAATGCTCAACTAATGTGGTCACATAACAGAAATAATCAATCAAAGACTCTAATACCTTGCAAACAGCAATTTTCATCGGAATGAACACATTACATGAATCTGATCAAAGAAGCTACTTGAGATCTTATAGAGCTTAACCTCTGGAAAAAACCATCTTAAAACCTATGAAACAGAGAGCTTACTGGTTTTGATATGTTGATCATCTTATCTTATCTATCAAGCTTAAACAGAGTTTTGCTTACATTACAAAAAGTATCACTGTCCAAAGAATCATGTTCATCAAACAGAAATTGTTGTCCATCAAAATGTAAAGGCCAGAACTGTGATACTTGTTGACTTTCATCACTTGACGCATATAACACCAATCCATTAAAGTAAACGTCAAAGAAACAGTTACCTCACAGAGAGAGAGACTTCGGAGATGGGTTCAGAAGGGTCTGTCGGAGATAGCTCGTGGTGGTCTGCATCGGAGGAGAAGAGAAATCTTGAGATGGATGGAGGGCTCGTGATGGAGAACGATCTTGAGATTGAGAGAGATGGATAGAGATCGAGATCGAGTGAGATGGAGAAATCTTAAGCAAGTACTCGCCGGAAGTGAGTCAACCTCGCCGGAAGTGAGTCAACCTCGCCGGAAGTGAGTCAACGCCGGCAGGAGCTGAGGAGATGGTAGAGGCTGCAACAATTGTTAAAAAAATCGTAACACCCAGAAAAAAATGGTCAAGGCAAATTGAAACCCAAACCTAATAACCCCCAAACTAACCGGGAAACACGGCAGATTAGAGATGGAGACGACGAGTTTGAGAAAGAGGGGTGGAGAAACAATACAAAGCCATCTCAGTCAATCTCATAAATGTTTTGGTGGTAATATTTTTTTTTGCTAATTGTTGGAGCCAACACTTAGTAAATTAAGGCGGCTAAATTTTTTTATTTTCCTGCGATAATAACATAGCGTTTTAAATTGACAAACGCTATTAGAAAAGCAAGTGTTTGTATACGATAGCAGAAATATCAGAACGCTATAATCTGATGCTATTAATACTCACATTTCCTGTAGTGTGTGTAGCCTTAGAGTCCGACTGGTTACAACGCAGCGATAGCGGTTGCGGTTGCGGGCGTTTGCGGATGTGGGTGGTTGCGGTTTCTAGCGTTATTAGGCGATTTGTACGACTGGTACAGCGATTAAAAATTGGTCCGTTTGCGGGACATTTATGACTGGTTGATTATGAGATACTACAGCGGTTCAATAATAAATTTCCAATATTAACATAT